CTGGCAGCTGCTGTCGGCCTTTCTCCTTGGCACGGGGACCAGCAGAGCCCTCGATGGGGCAAGACAACCCTGGCAAACAGAGTCACGGGGCAGCGCATCCTCCATCTCTGGGGACACACGGCCTTGTGCCTCACCTCCCAGTGCCCCGCCACTGCCGTGCTCCCTGGGGACAGTGCACAGAGCGGGCACTCGTTCTGGACTGACCACAGCACAAGTGAAGGCGTGAGTGCCTGTGAAAGCTGAGAGAACCTGCTGCTTTTCCACACTGTCACTGTCTCAGGCGGAAAGAAGGCAGACCAGAAGGGGACTGGTAAGGATCCTGAGTGCTGGATTGCTTCCTGCGCCTTTTGACCTTCAGCTATGAGGCGTGACCTTTACAGTTGTTGGACACAGATGGCCTTTAGAGGATATCCTCCCGCTGCCCTGGCAGAAGGAAAAGGGCGCAGGCACCACTGTGCACCTGCTTTGAAACTGGAAGGCGCCATGGAGGGGGAGTGTGTGGGGGGGTGGCAGGCTGGGCCGCGGGATCTCAAAGGACCCCTGGAGGGGGCGGGGCCCATTTCGGCTATGGGAATAACTCACTGAGAGTCACCTGAATGGAACAGGACACAGGGTAATTGAGCAAACAGTCCCCTCAGACACACCCCTAGCTCCCACAGACACATTTGTGCATACACGATATGCACACCCATGCGTGAACACACACCCCTGCACATGCACATGGCATGGCCTGCGGAAGGAGATCATGTGCTCTGCCCAGAATCGAGAAGCTGCTCCGTTGCCACTCAGCTAACGTGTCCCAGGGTGGCAGAGGTTTGGATGGAAACACAGACCCTGTCAAATAGTCCCATGGGCCGGAGGGTAGACACTGAGCAATCCTGACTCAGTGGCGGAGGCGGAACTGGCCCCCTGTGCCCCAGTGTCCTCTAATAAGGCCAGCGAGAGGCACTGGCTTGGAGGCTCCCGGAACACGCACGAGTGCCCACGGTTTCCCGAGCCCTCTCCTCTCCTCCCTGCTCCTCTTTCCTCCCCTCCCCACCCCTCCCCTCCCCTCCCCTCCCCTCCCCTCACCTCCCCTCCCCTCCTCTCTCCTCTCCTCTCCTCTCTTCTCTTCTCTCTTCCTGTCTCTCTCCCCTCTCCTCTCCTCTCCTCTCCCTCCCCTCCCCTCCCCTCCTCTCCCCTCCTCTCCCCTCCCCTCCCCTCCCCTCCCCTCCCCTCCTCTCCTCTCCTCTCCTCTCCTCTCCTCTCCTCTCTCCTCTCCTCTCTTCTCTCCTCTCCTCCCCGCTCCCCCTTGTGATCTGAGCACATTCATGAGCCTGGATGGTCCCCTACCTTCGGCCCTGCCCAGCCAGATTTCAGGAGGAACTCAGCCGCTGGCTTGGCCAAGCCTCGGCCCACATTGCCGCCTCCCGAGGTTGGAAGCCAAGGAAGGGCCCATAGGACCCCAGCCTTAGTTGGGTAATTTTGAGGCCCCTGCACGCCTTCCTATCGGAAAGGAGTAACTTCCCACCTCCTGTCTGGACTCACTCTGCCACCTGCTGGCGATATCCTGGAATTGCAGCCCCACTGGGGCTGGGATGGGCTGGGTCCCTGGCTCCTGTCTCTTCCTCCCCAGCTGACCCAGGGAGCCCTGTTTACTTCTGTTCTACAAGGCTCTGGGGCGCTCTTTCCCACATGGCAGCGCGGTGTCCCCCTCGCCTCCTCTAGGTCTCAGCTGGCAGTGAGCTCTTCCCTGTCCTCCCCACACCAGCTTACTTTTCCCCACTGTGCTGCCCTGCCAGGCGCAGAGGCATTTGTGGGTTCACCGTGCCCGTCTCCCCATGGGAAGGTGAGCCCTGAAACTCTGCTCCCATTGCAAATGCACGGAACAGCGTGATTCACTCTGATTTTTCCTTTCTCTGTATACTTAAGCTCTGTGTAGTATAATTACATTTCATCATGGGTCATTCTGCACCCTGCATTAAGTGTATAAATCTCCTATTCCCACCTAGGATGCAAAATTTGAGTTTTCTTGCATTGTCACCGTGAAACAGAGGCTCAGTAAATGAATATTTCTTACAGTGATTAGTATATCACTCATTAATATTCCACCCCAATTGCATCCTGTCTCATTGCTTCTGTCCATTGTCACACTTGATCTTTTCGACAATTCAACCAAAGTTTCACTGCAATGATCAAGCATCTTATTTTTATAGGACACTGGCGCTCAGGAAAATTCAGAGACCTGCCCAAGCTCACACAGCTCCTAGTGGACGCGGGGCTGCCAAATCCAAACTGTGTCCATCCCTTGCTTTCCTCGCATCTGTGGGTGTTAACTGTGTCCACTTGAGTAAGACACGCCCATCAAATAAGTTGGGTCAGCGAGGTGCTGGGTGCGGCTGAAAACAGAAGACCCGTCCTAGTGTGAGTGGCACCAGCCAATGGGCTGCTGCCTGATGGAATGAAAGGGAAAGGAAGAAGGAAGGCTCCCTGCTTCTGAGGAGCTCCATGCTTCCCCTTCTCCTTGGATGTCCTCTCCTGGCTTCCAGTGCAGACCCTCCACCCTCCTGACACAGACTCCAGGGGACACTGCAGTGAGCTCCACGCCTTTGACAGGATCCTCAGGACTCCCGGTGACAACTCTTTGGTTCTCCGCCCCTGACTCTGTGGGTGGCCACTGTAAACCAGCCTTGTAAATGCTAGTGATTTGTGTATCTTGCATTAAACCTATTTCTCCAGTGAGCGCTGATACAGATTTTGGTACTGGGAATGGTTCTAGAGGAACAGAATTGTAAAGAAGAAAGTGTTTAATGGCTTTAGTTTTTCCTATAATTTGATGAGACTAAAAGATGCTATAGTTTTCAGGAAAAAAAGAAGAGGAGAAGAAGAGGAGGAAGAGGAGAAGAGGAGGAAGATGGAGAAGGAAGAAGAGGAGGAGAAAGAGGAGAAGGAGGAGGAGAAGAAGAAGAGGAAGAGGAGGAAGAAAAGAAACAAAGGTACAAGCTCAACAGGACAGACGTATTTCCAGACAAACTTGAAGGGGCTGCCGTGTCACTTAGACCAGACGCTAACTCTGTCCAGGCTATGATGCCTCTTATAGGGTCGCCAGCTTGAAGAAGGGCTGTGAAGGGAAAAGGTCAAACTGGAACTTTAGAGAGTTCAGGGAAGAAGCATCCCCTGCTGGGATGTGACCTGAGAAAGTACAGGGAGTGGTGGTCACTTGTCAGGGGCAGCACTGAAGACCAATGGGAGTGCCAGGCTGTAGCCACGGTCACTGGGCCTTATCAAGCCCCGATCATACACTTTTTGGGGTAAAGTGTAGCAGATGGCAGAGGCCTAGGATGGCGGAGGTCAGTTCCTTCAACAGTCCTTCCTGGTACCGTGGGGCACCGGGAGTCCTCGGCGTGAGCTGTTTAAAGTGCGAAGCAAGGCAGATCCACCTGGTTACCCTAATTCACCACTTGACAGATGCAAGGAGTTTAGTGACTCCATGTATGATCCTTCTGAATATTTTTTGGTAGAGTGTGCAACATAATGATGCTGCCTAGTTGTTAGCATATCTGGACAAATCAGCGAAGGAAAATAGTGAGCTCAAACCTACGAGAAATCTGAGGTCTTCTGTAAAGACACATTCATAAAGGAAAATACTGAGCTCAAAGATTCAAATTCCCAGCTCCAGCCATATGTAAATAAAGTTTCCGAGCGTGTCTTGAAAGAGTCTCCTCTCATTTAGCAACAGGGCTGAGACTGCGGAAACCCAAACCCAGGGCCTCATAATTCGATCGGCTGAAATACAGCCTAATTTAATGCTCAGCCTCAGAGGGAATCTGAAGCAAAGGCAAGGGCCCTGATCCAGAAAGCCTGGGATCTCGTGAACTGGGGTGGAAGCACTGGGGAGGATCTTGATGAGGCTGGGGGTGCTGAGCTTCTAAACTCTAACACCGTTACTTTGCCGGGGAAAGAGATTTCCACATCCACAGTGGAGCAGGTATCCCTGCCCACTCCCTGTGGTCTTGGCCTCTCCTCCTCTACCTGGGGAAACCAAGCCTGTGCTGACCAAGCAGGATGACGCGGACACCTCTCAGGGCCCAGCCCAGCTCCCACTTTTGCCTCTAGCTCTGTAACCAGGCTCACACTGCGGAAGGCTCCCGAGGGTGAGGCGTGCAGAGTGGCCCACGAGGAGGTGCACTGTCTCCCAAAGAGCTTCTTGGGCTTTTTAATTCTAGAAGCAGAGCCCGAGGGGCAAGCACAGGAATGGGTTTTACCAGGGTGGGATGATGGTGGTAAAAACCTACCTGGACCAGGCTGAGTTTGTTGCTATGGACCCATTAATTAAGCAGGGATGGATGTCGCAGCTTGTGGAGCTAGAGTGTTAATAGTTTAATCGGCTGGCTGGCAGGAGTACGATCACCGTCGAGGAGTTAGAGATGCCTGATGCCCTGTGGCTCGCTGTCCATGAGGGGCTGCAGTGGCTCAGTAATATGTGAGTGCTGGAGGGGGTTGTCCGGTTAGATCTAACCTCCACACTGGAATGATCCAGAAAGTGTACCCCTCACCACACCTTGAGAGACAGATCTGCAATGAGCCCTGCCTCTTGTTTCCCAGATCTTACAGTGGGGACCGCAGTTACTCACCTGGGAGGTTAAGGGCAATGGGCTTGACTGGATTCTGGGTGGCAGAGGCCAAGCGGCAGAGTCACCGAAGGCAGAGCGTGCACCGCGATGGCGGGAGATGCAGAACAGTGATTGGAATGGTCTCGCACACGCACACCTAAGGCATTGACTAATTAGCCTTGGAGCTCCCAAAAGCCAAATAGAAAGTCTACAAAGACTTTTACTAGATTTATAGAATTAAAAAAAAATGTAAGGGCAAATGAACAGAAAGTTACTTCAAGTCACAGTAACAAAGAACCATAGCCCCTCACCTGGTTCCCAGATGTGAGGAAGTTTAGAGACCCAGAACCCCTTGAATGACGGGCAGGGCAGGTACCCTTGAGAAAGGAACAGATGCACCACAAAAACTTATCCCATTTGTCCCCAAAGGGAGCTAAAGCCTTTTAACCACGTAACTGTACACTGGGGGAAGGACAATGATTTCAGGGGCTACTGGACACTAAATCTGAACTAACCCTGACTCTAGAGGACCCAAAACATCACTGTGGCCCTCCAGTAACAGGCGGGCCTATGGAGGTCAAATGATCGATGGAGTTCTAGAAAGTGGGTCCAGTAACTCACAGTGGGTCCAGTAAGTCCTTGGATCCATACTGTAGTCATTTACCCTGTTCCAAAGCGCATACTTGGAATAGATAAACTTGGTACTTTGCAGAATCCTCACACTGGATCCTTAACCTGTACGTGAGGCTATTATAGATGGATAAGCCAAGTGGAAGCCATTAGAATTACCTTTGCATGGTAAAATAGTAAAGTAAAGGCAGTATTGCATTCTTGGAGGGATCCCAGAGATTAGCGCCCACATCAGGGACGTGAAGGATGCCCCCACATCTCCATTGAATTCCCCCATTTGGCCAGAGCAGAAGGCAGGTGGGTCTCGGGGACCTCACATGCTGACTCTCATGCAGTTGCTGTACCAGATGTGGTGTCCTGATGTGGTGTCCAGGTGTGGTGAGCAGATTAGCACATCTCTTGGTACTTGGTATCAGCTATTGATTTGGCAAACACCTTCTTCTCCAGAGGTCTCCATAGGAACCACCAGAAACAATCTGCTTTCAGCTGGCAAGGCCAGCAGTGCACTGGCACTGACCTGCATCGGGGTTATTTCAACCCTCCAGCCCCGTGTCACAACTTAGTTGACAGGGACCTTGATCTTTCTCTCCCACAAGGCATCACCCTGGTGATTACATGTATGACACTGTGTTATGCTGCTGGGACCCAGTGAGCAGGAGGTAGCCACCTCTGCATTTGTTAGTAAAGCACTTGAGAACCCGAGAAGGGGAAATAAATCCAAATAAAATTCAAGGTCTTTAGCTCAGGGAAATTTCTAGGAGTCCGGTGGTGCAGGGCAGGTAGAGATATCCTTTCCAAGGTGAGGATAAATCACAGGATCTCGATCCTCCATCACCAGAAAAGAGGCACAACACCTAGTGGACCTATTTGGATTCTGGAGGCAACACAGTCCTCATTAGGAGTTTTACTCTGGCTCGTTTACCGAGCGACTCAGAAAGCTGCTAGTCTTAAGCCGGTCTCAGGGCAGCAAATTGCTCTTCAACGGGCCCAGGCTGCTGTGTGGGCTGCTCTGCCCCGGGCCCATCCGATCCAGCAGGCTCAGCGGTACTCAAGCGGCAGGAGCAGTGGAGATGCTGTTTGGGGTCTCTGGCAGCCCCACAGGTGAAACGCAGTGGAGGCCATTCAGAGTTTGGAGCAAGGCTCTGCCGTCATCTGCAGGCTACCACTCTCCCTTCAAAAAACAGCTCTTGGCTTGACATTGGACCTGAGTGGGAACCGAACCCTTGACATCCATGTGGCCTGCGTCATCATGAGCTTCTCTTCCTCTTCCTTTTTCCTTTTTCTTCTTTCTTCCTATCTTTCTCTTTCTTTCTTTTTTTTTTCCTTCTTTCTTTGCACTACTGGGGATTGATATCAGGCCCTTTGCACTGACTTTGTTTGTTTGAGACAGGGCTTCACTAAGCAGGGCTCTCGGGCTGGGTTACGACTTGCGATCCTTGTGCCTCCACTTCCCACAGGACTGGAGCGGAGACTGCACCACCACACTCAGCTCGGCTTTCACTTCCTCTGATCCTCGGCTGCATTTGACGGAGTGAAGACAACACCTTAGAAGACACCACGCTTCCCTGGCTTCCCGTCGCCTCGCTGGCTCCTCTTCATCTTCTCGCCATGTTTTTCTCTCTGCCAGTCTTTCAGATATTAAGTTTTCTCTGGGGCTGTGTCCTCAGCCCATTTGCCCCTTTCCTCTTCCCCTCTGAGTGTGTTCTACCGCTGGGAAGGAAGGACCTCCGTGCCGTGCAGTCCCTGTCCCTGGGACTCCTGGCAAAGAAGAGTGACCAGGAGAAACCACCTTAAAGTCACACAGGGCTCTTGGAGAACACACTCTTGGTATTTTTCAGTGAGCGTCCTTTGCTAAGGGGTCCATTTAGCAAGTGCTACCTGGGCCACCTGATACTGCTGATGGCAAAGGAACCTGAGATCTGCAGGTGCAAGGGCACAGTGCCCTGGAAAATATCAGGAGAATCGTGCACTGGAAGCAGTGGAGCTGTTTCTGAGACAGCTCTCCCTTGCTAAACACAGTTGCAACAGCTGTGGTGTAGAAACAGCCCATGTTAAAGCCAGGCCAGAGCCTGTCACCTTCCTGCCATGAGGACCCGGCCAGCAGCACTGGCAGCCCTGGACTTTGCCATGCACTTCCTCTCGAAAATCCTTGAAATTACTAAGAACATTAGATATTGGCTAAGAGATCTGATTTGTGAATCTGGTTTAACATTCTGCCCCTTGTCATGGCTTAAATCACCCAAGTCACTACCACCCAGGCTCCAGAACATATATGCAGACATTGGCTAAAGATCTCTACCGCCGTGCCCCTGAGACTCATCCTCTCCTCTCCCACCCGCTGCTCCCTCTGTGGCCATGGGCCCAGAAGTCCTACCCTGGGGTGCTTCAATGGCATCTGGATACAGAGCAGGCCAGGGGTGCTGGGGGTGGGGCCAGGGCCAAGGTTGACCATGTACCTGCTCAGATCAGAAGTGCCACATGCTCACAAATGCTGTCCAGCTTTTTGCCACCCACTTGCGTCCTGGGAGAAGCCTTTGGGTTACACACACAGCAGTGAGGCTGCCCCCTAAGTGTCGGTTGCTCCTCAGGACTAACTTGTAACACTGAGAGTGTCTGCACCTCACAATTAGCATCTGGTAATGCCAGAGCGTAAGGTGGTGCTCAGAAGACAGAAAGCCAGGCACGCCTGTGATCCTAGCACTCAGGAGGCTGAGGCAGGAGGATCATGAGTTGGTGGTCCGCCTGGGTCAAACAAACAAACAGACAGGCAGACAAAACAGGCAGACACTACACTGATGTGGGATGTCAGAAGGGTGCAGGAGTCAACTGACAGCTGTTGTGGCCAGAGCTGGAGTAATTAGATCAACAAAACACACGAACAGCTTTGGGAGCCAGGTGTAGGGGTCCACACCTGTAATCCCAACACTCTTGGAGGCTGAGGCAGGAGGATCACAAGATTGAACCCTGCCTGGGCAACTTAGGCTGGCATTAGGGACTTGCAACCTGTTTTATTACCAGTTGAAAACAGCTCTGAGCAACAGGCAGGGCAGGAGCCAGGGTGTGGGGCTGCCCAGCGCGGGGCTTGCTGAAGTTCTGGAGTTTTTTGGTGGCTGTTTTGGAGAATTCCCCATCTCCTCAAGGCTATAGGGCCTTCCCTCCTGCTGCATCACGTTCTTGATCCAGCCGACATATTTGGCCAAGAGGGTGTATATTCCTGGGATGTTCTTCTGCCCACAGCTCCTGCCCCAGCTGATAATGCCCACTTGGTACCACTTACTGCTCGAGTCATTTGTGGTGCAGACAAGGGCTCCCCCACTGTCACCCTGTGGGCAGAGAATACAGATCAGTAGCCAGTCCCTCCCTCAACTGACCACCAAGGCCAGGCACAGCTCAAGCAAAGAAGGAATCCACTACCTTCCCCTACTCCAGATTGCTACAGGAAGTCCCGTCAATGCCAGCTGGTGCCTGCCCCAGCCTGGCATCATGGGGGAGTGCATCAGGGTCAGGATGGCTCGGGCACTGTGGGGGGCAGCACAGAGCTGGGCATGGGCCAGTCTGCAGGAGCTGGGGAGAGGGAAGCTTGGCGAGCAAAGCCAGCTCCCCTGCAGCGGAGAGGGCCGAGTGAGCAGTTGAGGGCAGGTGGAGGCAGCCATGGTTGCCCCAAGCCAGAGGCTCTGGAAAGGTCACAAAGGAAGCAGACGCAAGGAGCCTCGTAGGCGTTAGCAGCTGGGTACTTTGGGTGCTCCTCCAGAGATTTTGGGGGAGGACAACATTTCCTCTTTAATTCTTTGGTCTGGTGTTTGCAAGGGACACCTGGTTAAGCTCCCTGGAACTCAGCTGCCCTGTGGGTCCGGGCCTCTCTGGTTACCCGATGCTACATATCTACATTGCTGGCGGTCTCCTTTGTCCTTTTAACAGGGGCAGGGAGGCACAATGAGCCTCAAGGAGGAGAGAGGGCTTGCCAAGGGACCCACAGTCACCAGGCCAGAGCGGACAGCCGGGGTTTTCCGCTGCTGAAGCCCTTGTTCACCCTTTCAACCTGGTGAGACTGTTCTCCCACCTGAGAAGTGACAGCCTTGGCAGAGGTCTGTCTCCAGCAGAGGTACCCCCTCCCCAACTATGGCCGCACAGGGCATCTGGGGCGATGGGCAATGTGAAGGACTCCAGCAGGGGAGGCAGAGGAGGACACGGTCTTCTCTCTGAGATAGCTACCCGGAGGCCCATTCTGAAGTGAGTAAGCTGAGGACCTGAAGAGTTTGAGCACTAACAGATCTTCACTGAGGAAAGACCAACGGCCAGGCCTGGGGACACAGGATGCCCTGCTTTAGTGAAGGGGAGGCACTGGGTCACACAGGACGTTACAGGAGCGTGCGGCAGGGATGCAGAGTGGCATGGGAAGAGGGAGGACTCAGCAAGGATCGCCAAGCACAGGGCCGGGGGAGCAGGACCCCGACCAGGTGAGTGTGGGCGCAACCTGGGGGGAGCCGGGCAGGGGGTGGGAGGCTGCGTGGGGGATACCATGAGAGTCAGATCCAGGGCCAAGGATGTCGGGAAAGGAGGAGATGGGCAGGGCAGACATACACTGGTGACAGTCACGAATGCTGGACACGGACCGTGAGGACAAAGTGCAGGGCACAGGCTACAGAGGACAGAGGCAAAGAGCAGGGGCAGAAATGAGCAGGTGTGAGGGCAGTTTGGCTCCATCATGGACTGCAGCTCTGCGCAGGACAACGTAGGTTCACAGATGAGGTCACCTCTGCCTGAGAGCACCTGGCCAGCCAACGCTGCCCAGGAAAGGGCGCTGTCTCTCTCACTTGCCTGTTTCTCACAGGTGCGTGAGCTTCACTGACTTATGGGGCAAGAACACAATCAACTGCCTTTTCACGCAAATCACTTGTTCCACAAATGTGGTTTTTATAATTTTTTTATAAAAAAATCTCTTAAAATGTCACCTTTATGGCCAGGGATTTAGCTTAGTGGCATAAGTGCTTGCCTGGCAAGTGCTAGGTTGTGAGTTCGATCCCTGGTACCAAAAAAAAAAAAGTTACCTTTATGATTTATTTCCATATATAATGGAGGAAGAACGATTAATAGCAGGGATCCCAAACTGTCTGTACCCTGTTAGTGGTGGGTAAAACATCTGTTTCTGGCTTCTCCTCATCCCTCAAATTACTGTCTGAGTTCCACTTTCTGTCAGAAAAATGGCAGCTTTCCGGATTCTCATAGGCATGCAAACTCTACTGTGAGCCATGCATGCGTGAAATCTAGGCTGGGTGCTCCTGATGAGAATCCAGCACTTCATGATCTCAGGTGGAACTGAGGTGGTGATGCTAGTCCTGGGGAGTGGCCAAAAAGAAAGATGAACGTTGACATAAGGTCTGACTGGAGAGAGACTACAATAAGTCAACTGTTTATGGACTCGTGTCAAAACCCCAGCAGTGAAAGGCAAGTAACAAGCTGATCTCATGGCAGGCTTCAGAGTGGGAAGTCAGATAATATACTTCAATTGTACAGCTGCATCTGTGCCAGGTTTTCAGCCAGAATTTTCCATTTATTTTAGTCCACCTGTGGCTGGCTATTATTTTATTTGCTATGCCTTTTTCTTCCACTGCCCAATTGTCTCAGTTACAGTTTTGGTAAGTGCACTACTAAATGACTAAAAATCAAATGTCCCTGGAGAGTTTCTGTGGGAAGTGAGGAGAACCCAATGACGAGATAGCAGAAGACTCTAAGGCTGCCAATCTGCACTTAAAACACCAAAAGTGAAGTCCCACTTCATTGTAACTGGTGATTCATATTCTCCACATCCACTTTGTACAAGGATGCTCTTCTCACCAACCAACAGCCCAGCTGATGAAATATTCAAATTTTTGATTGATTCCATAGCAGGAATGGACAGAGTGGTTGGCAGGAGAGGACAGCTTTCTGCTTTCATGCCATGAGTCAAACAAGTCACCTCTGGATGTGTGTCTGCACATTTGTCACCCATAGAGAAAGGCTGGCCAGGTGAAAAAGGTTATGTGAACTTAATGTTTTGCAGAATGTGATTGAAATGATCAACCACATAAGGTGCACGTTCTTTATGTGGGCAGCTCTGTGAGGAAATGGGCACAGAGCACGCACATCTGCCCTGGTACACAGGAATATGTGGCTTTCTAAAGGAGGATCCCTGGCCAGAGTTTTCAAGTTATGTGAGACTCACGAGTGTTCTTTGGGAAAATAGTCTCTGGTAGTACATTTCAGTGACACAGAATGGGTCACAAGACTTGCTGACTCATGTGACACATTCAACCCAATCCATGAACTCCATCAATCTGTCACTTTGGGGGGCACCGACAACTGTCCTCAAGTTGGCAGATAAAGTGGATGCATTCAAAGCCAAACTGGCACTATGGGGGGGGGCAGTAAGTGGACCCTGGGGTATCTGACATGTGTCAGTATTAGCAGATACTTCAAAAAAGACTGAGCAGGTACCTTCTTTCTCCTAGCTGCTGCATGAATAGCTATTTCAGCCTTCAAAATACTTTTCACATTACTTCCAACCACAAAAGATCCCTGGACTGGGGATGAATGGATGCACATTTGTGAGTATGCCAGGTGAATGGACTTGTCTGTAGCAGAAAAGGATCAGTTGTTTGAGATTTCAGTTGCCTGTGGCCTTAAAGTATGTCTGAGACAATGTCAAATCTCCATAGGTTCTGGATTAAAGTCAAACTGGAATCTCCTGAGACTGCCACAAAAGAAGAAAAGCCTGCTTCCATTTCCTATTTCCTGCCATCATGAAGCAGAGTTTCTTCAGTGACAGCAACCAAGACAATTTTATGGAGTAAACTGCACATAAGCAACACTCTTTGGGGGCCACTGTCACCCAAGATGGCACTAATTGTAGGAAGAGAAACTCAGTGCTCTCACTGACACTTGAATATGGTCAATTGGATAATAATACAAATAAAGTGCACAATAAATGAAACGTGAGTTAATGAAGGAGGCCTAAATGTGGATAAGCAGGACAGCCCCCCACCAAACTGTCTGGAATCCGGTGCCAGGCACCATATCCAATGCCATTCTGTCCCTGCAGACCCAGGACCTTTAGGATTCCTCCTGGGCAAAACCTCCTCAGTGGCTGCTTTACTGACAGCCACGGACAGCTGGCTGCCTGGGCTCACTTATTTGGGAAACATTTATGGAGCATTTGCTATGGACTGAGTCTTGGGTAGAGCACTGGGACTTCTGCTCTGAATGTGTACGTGTGTGCTAGAGCTGGTGGACAGGGGATAGATAGGAACACAGCACCTAGGCGCTTTGGGGGGACCAGCATTACATTACTGGGTGTGCACAGGTTCAGGCTTACACTTTGCTTGATTGTGCTACTTCAAATGATTTTAAAGTTGGACATTTTATTTCAAGGTAACTGTGGACTTCATGCAGCTGCAAGAAACAACAGAGATCCTGTGACCCTGCAGTTTCCCCAGTAATAGTTTGCAAAACTGTAGTGTGTACAATGTCACAATCAGGACCCCAACACTGACACCATCAGGAGACAGAACACCCCCACGGCCTCGGGGATGCCCCCTCCACCCTTCAGCAGCCCCATGCCCTCTCTTCCCACCCACAGCCCCTGCGTCACCCAGCCACCTCCAATACAGGCTTCAGCTGTATGGAGTGGAAGGGACAGAAGAAAGCGTGCCTGCTGTCTTTCCCGGAATCAGAATCCTGCTTTTTTTTTTTTTTTTTTTCAGCATTTAAAATTGCCCAGAAAGTGAGGAAAGCTCGAGGCTCAGGTTACACTGATTCCAGCTGTCTGTTTGGTCCTCCCAAGTCTCCCTACCTTGGCAGCTCCTTCTGGACCTGGTGTGTGTTGTGGACCTCGTACTGCTGACCTCAGATCCCTGCTCCTTTCTGTTCCACCTCTTCAGTTCCAGTCCCAGCGGCCCCTCCCGAGGACCTGTCTTATAGCCTCGCTGAGAAGTGCGTGGACCAGCACCCTCTGCTTCATAGGCAGCCCCTCCTTCCCTCTGGTCACTCCACACCTGTGTTGTAGTTTCACATCTGTGGTGAGAGTCACTGGCCACCAATGAGTAAAGCCCTAGCTGTCATCAGGCGGCCTTGTCGGGGCAGAGAGCATCTTTGAGTTTAAATACCAATCTTATCATTCATTCCTTGGAGCCAGAGGCACTAAGCTCTGAAGTTCTTTCGATTTTTCTAGTGAGCAATCAAAAAAGATTTGAAGATTTTTGTGTCAATTGCAACTGGCTCAATGCAAGCCACCTGCACCACCTGCGTGATACGGCTGTCCTCGAGCTCCCTCTAGGGAGACTGTGGATCCCTGGGGTGAGGGCCCAGGCCAGCCTGTGGACCCCCATATGCTCAATGAGGGCTGCTTAGTGAGTGGGTTACAAGGATGCCTTATTTGGCCCTCAAATCCTTGTTGGCATTTTGTTCTGTAAGAATTTCTAGAAGCGAGGGAAGCAACAGAGCCTGATTTACCTTTCCAGAAGAATGCACAGGGTTGCAGTCTGCTGTGCCAGGTGTGCCCAGAAGTCCGCTGTGCAGAGGACCCAGGGACCCTCCCGCCCCTGCCCCTGTCCCCGGCTTCAGGCCCTGATTCCCGTGCATTTCCAGAACCTTAATCCTCCCTTCCCCGAGGAGAGAGACAGCCCGAGTTACCTGGCAGGCGTCATAGTTCTCATTCTGGTACCCAGCACACAGCATGTTTTTGGTGAGTTTTGAAAACTGCTTGGAACATTCCTCCCAGTCCAAGATGACCATTGGCACTTTCATCAGATCGCTTTTCATGGAGTCTTTTTCACCTAAACCACAGAGAAAGGGACATTAGAAAAACCACCAGGGGGCAGGTCTCCATGCAGACCACTCAACTGGTTGTGCCCTGGCAGGGCCCTGTACAGCTCAACTCCCAGCCCTGACCCCACCTGCTGCCCTCGTGGTCTCACCCTCTGCAGGCTTCAGTAGCCCGGGAAACTCCGCAGTTCCGCCAGCATTCCCACCTGCTGCATCCCTCCCCTGCTTTAGAATCTCTCCCCTCCCCCAGCGAGGACTGATTCCCGCCAGCCCTGCTGGAAACCAGCTAGGGGCCACTTCTGGCACCATCCTGCCGCATGCGCATGTGTTTGTTTTCCGATTTCTGCAGTTTATTATGGCACACAGCGTCTCCTGAAGGGCATGTGAGGCCAGTTTGCACCCCAGTGGAAATGTACGAGGGTAGGTAGGCTGCACCTCTTTATAGGGAAGGAACTACCAGGGGATGGTGGTCTGACCCTGCAGGCATCAGGAATTTGCCTGAACTTTTCTTCGTCGTTAACTCTGAGCACACAAAAGTTTCATAACTCTTCCTCTTATTGAGGGTTTTTAAACTTGTGTGGTTGCCATCTGCTTGTAGCTTTGAGAACTCCCTGGAGCAGGAACCCAAGCTCTACCCACTATCCTCTGCTAGGCTCTGGAAAGACACACACACACACACACACACACACACACACACACACGCACGCACACACACATGCGTGCACACACACCATGACCCAGACCCCTGGCTCACTCCAAATCACCCAGGGACTCAAGTATGTGCTACCTGTCTGCTTTTGGCTTTGCCATATTTTCCTTGGGCCAGGAGGTTTTTGTCACACTTTGCTGCCCTGTAAAGTTTTCTTTCATGCTGGCCAAGGAACAATCTCACAAGTGACAAGGAAATCCTAAGAGCTCTGGGCAGGATGCCCCTGGACTAGACCATCATGGGCATCAGGGATGCTAGTAGAAAGCAGTGGGACCCATCCATGGGTGACAGCTGAGAATAAAGAGCAGAGGGGTCTCTGGCCATTAACCAAAGGATCCTGTGTGGTGCTCGCCGATAGGCCACGCCTGGGACTGTGGACCTGGGAGCTCAGCGGGCCTCGGGGATGCTCACCCCTGGTGGGCCCAAGAGGCTGAGAAAAGCCTCCATTGGTGGACAAAGGGTTGTCCAGGGGGAGTCCTGCTCCTGCCTCTTCTTTCTCCTCTCCCCTCCCCTGCATGGCTCTCCCCAAGTAGCCGTCCCAAGGTGCTGGCATCATGTACTTGAGTTGGTCTGTCCCCATCCTGCCACCCAGCAATGGCGCCAGCTGACAGGACTGAGCTCGGGGGGCAAGCAGATGGGCACTTTCAGGTCATTGAACTTGATGGGTGAGGCCAGCAGCAGCAAGCCGATATCGTGGTCCATGGAGACTCTCCTGTGGTCCTTGTGAAAGATGATGTTGGTGACCTGCTTAATTTCCAGGTGTTGGCTGGTTAGGTCACTGGTGCCCACCACAACATTCACGTCTTTGGGGCTGGTGGTGGTAGATAACCAGAGAAAGAGAGGACAGGAAGGAAGTCACAAAAGAGCCCAGAATTCACCGAACACCCGAAGCCTACACTCCGCATATTTCTAGGGACCTTTAGGATGGAGCTGTGGGGCCTGGTGCTCACAAGGTAGGAGGATTTAAACAGCAAAGCAGGGTGGAACTGCCTGGACCCTCAGGGGAATGAGACACTAGCATGGAACAAAGCAGGGGCAAAGCTCAGTTTGGAAAAGTGACCCAGAGAGGAAGGCTTGACCCAGACCCGAAATAGCTGCCAGGTGATAAAGTGTCACACACATGAATGATGACATGCATTGCTCCCATTGCTCAGTCTACCAACAATTCAGAAGTCCAGGGACAGAGCTGAATCTGGTCCTGCAGGGCCCTTGAAGGACAAGGCAGTATGGGGACCTGCTCCAGGCCAGGTGGCCATACTTTCCAGTGGCTGACCCGCGCCTCCCGTGAAGGAGGTGCAAAAGGAAGGCTCTCATTTTGCCAGGACAAAACCCTGTGGAGTTTTGTTTTCCAGTGCTGGGGATTGATACATGCTGGGCATGTGCTCTACCACTGAGCTTACCCCCTGTTCTGTCCACAGGGTTTGGATCCAGCCTTCAAAGTCAGTTTTCTGGGTATCTCCCAGCTGCCTCAAGGAGGTAAAGCTGAATGCACAATTGCCAGAGCCAGAATTCCAGTCCTGCCTTTGCCTCCTGGCCCTGTGCCTTGGGGACACTGCCTGCCAGTACCAGACCACTACGCCTTACCCATGAGGCAGAGTTACTGCTCTTACCACCCCGCCCCGTGGGTCACTGCAGGCTTAGAGACGCTAACACAGGTGCCATCTTAGCAAGATCATGGGCACATGGTTGGTTGGTAAATGCTTCTGTCTGCAGATGGCCTGGTCAGATCACTTGGAAACCAGACTTCCAGAATTAGAGTTCCCTCACAGGAGCACTGGAGTGAGTGCGGTGCCCTCTGCTCATCCAGTTGCAGGTGCTCCATGACTTCAGGGTGCCCAGTGTACCTGCTCCTGGCCCAGGCTGGGTCAGCTGCCCCAGTGTCCTCAGGCCAGTGGGGGTGTCCTTCCTGTCCTGTCCAGCTCAGGAGCTAGGCTCCCCTGGACAGTCAGGTCTGAGTGAGTGAGCAGGTGCCCCAGGACCACCCTGGCAGAAGTGCCAGCTGCAGAGCTGGGTACTCACGGTATTTCCTCGAAATTTAAGCAGTGAGCAGCCGTGAGAATCCACCAGGCGCTGAGGATGGTGCCGCCACACATGTGCTCGTTGAAGACCTGAATACTCACCTGCCACGGGAACTCACCCTCCTCGGCCTCCATCCCCCCAATGATCCGGGAGTGACGGGTGCTGCCCTCGAACTCGGGTCTCTCGCCACATCCTGCTGCGGGGTGAGGAGGGAAGACAGCAGGAGGGAGGAGCTGCCTCAGCACCCACGTGGCCAGCAGGGCGGGAAGGAGGGGTTGGACTTAGATGTCCCTGTTCCTTCCCTGTTCTGACGTGCTGGCTCCTCATGTGGCCCGAGGAAGCCAACAGAGCTGGAGGCTGCATGTGGGGAACAATGAAAATGCTGTCCCCAAGCCAGCCGTGGTAGGGTCAGCTGAACAGTGGCCCTCACAGAAGGCCCAGTTCTCTTGGCCACACCCTGGGACTGTGGATGTTTTCCCACAACAAACACTTGGGGAGGTGCAATGAAGATCACTAATCAGTTGACCTCAGAATAGGGAATGGCCCTGGTTGCTCCTAGGGAGCGCCATTTAATCACAAGGGCACCTCAGGGAGCTGGAGAGGGGCTTGAGTGCAGCACAGCGCAGGCCCCGGGTTTCATTCCCAGCCCTGGAAAATTTAAAAAGTGGTAGAAGAAAAGAAAACTCAGTCAGCAGCAGACTTGGGAAGCAGGAAAGGCACAGGGAAACTGGGGCCACTGCAAGGGGCTAGGGGCAGTCTGTGAATGCTGCGGCCGAGGGGAGCGATGTCCCTCTGTGAGGCCAGGCCTGGTCCTCTGTTCCCACCCGAGTCTCCAGCTTGCTCCCGGAACCAAGGCCGGGCTGACTCTAAAGCCTCCCCACGCCCCACTCCGGAAGCTGCTCTTCCAACATCAATCAACTCAATAGCAGCTTGGAGGATTTTGCAGAGGGGGCTGCAGTGACCCAGGTGGGTCACTTTTGGTTTTTTAAAAATGGAGAATTTAGCAACGTGTGTCAAGAGGCTCTGGCTGTCAGTGACGCAAAGAGCTCTGGACCGTGGGACCTAGTCTTCCTCTGTGTTAGTCTCGAGGCACAGACTTCTCAGGCCTGATTCTCTTTAATGTTCACAGCCTCCCCACAAGGCAGCCACTGTTATTTTCAGCTCCATGTTACAGGTGGGACAACCGAGGCACAGGGAGGTTAGTGATTTGCCCAAGCTTGCACAGCTGACCAGTGGCCTGACCAAGAGCTCAGGAGTCGGGGTTGGTGCTCTTCCCACCCCCAGGGCCACTCTGCCCGGTGCCTTCCTCATAGGTCCAGGCCTCTGCCTGAGAGCCGCTCCTCCCCTGAGGCTGCTGCTGGCCTGTGCCCAGCCCTGCACTCCTGTCCCAGTTCTTCCACTGTGTGATGGTCCCTCACCATGTGGCCTGGTGGCGACGTCCTCTTGGCCTGACTGTGACACAGGTGTTAGGCACCAGGAGGAGACAGGGAGCACTGGGTGATGCCGGGGCCTAGCCTCTGCACCCGGCCGGGAGACAGCTGCTCTGAAGCAAGGATTCTGCCTGGGGCAACACATGCTAAAGGGCAAATCTGGGCTGAAACACGTCCAGTGCCATGACACTTGGAGCAGCAATGGGCTGAAAGCAACCTAAACGTCAAGACTGAGCAGCGTCCACATCACCCAGGTCATCAGCTACATTCTGGCCTGCAAAATGATGCCCTGGGGAATGAGTGAGGATGCAGGAAGATGCTTGTGATACAAAAAGGCAGGATGAAAGTTAAAATGACAACCTGGGTTAAAGACACGAGGGAGGAAATATCTCAAGATACACAGTGTGTGAGGGGCTTGACTGGCCAGCAGGTGACCATCACAGATGTCCCCTCTCTCTGAAACACAGCTGTTAGCCCCTTGCCTAAAGCTCCCAGGTGAACAGTGGAGCCTGACCCTTGGTCATTACTTGCTTGTCACCTGACTTGGGGATGCTACTTCTCCTGCTCCTTCGTTCCTCGGGGCCTTGGGTTGTTCCTACCCTGCGTGACCAATGTAAGGACAGGAGACCAAGGCTGAGGCCCCTGGCAAGGCGGAAACCCTGGCATAGCTGGCATAGCCAGTAGAAAGTCTCCCATCCATTTTGCACCAAAGTCAGCCAGGCCTATCCTCCCTGCCTGTCTGAGGGGATCCCCACTCTAGGACCATGTGAAGTTCAGGACCTGCCCGGAACTCAAAACTTAGAAGCAGCGGGGGCTGCAGTGGGTGGGGAGCCACATCAGTGACAGAGCTTTTGAGTTTCCTTCCAATTGGACCTGAGGAGCCAGTTCTGCTGATGATCTCTCCATACCCCTACCTCACACCGTGCTCCTTGCAGTAAGCCCAGGCTGGACTACAGCAGGCTGGGCGACCAGGCTGTGCACTGTGCCAGAGGCTGTGGGAGGTGAATCAGGCAGAGCTCCACCATTGCCCTGTGAGGGACTTCCGGCAAATCCTCCACCCGCAGAAGCTCTGGGTTCCCCATCCTACCCCGTCCAGGGGCAGAAACAGCCTGGCGATGGGGTACATGCATTAGATGGGAGGTGGCTGGCTGGTGACTGCTCCCTGGAGGAGGTAAGGAGCAGGAGGAACTGCCTGCCAGGACAGCACACCCTGGGACTTGGCCTGCCAAGGCTGCCAAACTGTCTGCTGGGGGAGAGGGAAGAGGAGTGGCAGCCAGGTGTGGTGGCCATATCTGTAATCCCGGCACTGTGGGAAACTGAGGCAGGAGGATCACAAGTTGAGCCCAGCCTGGACAATTTAATGACTTAATGGGACACTGTCTCAGAATAAGGGTGGGAGGGCAGCATAGTACAGAGGTCCCTGGGTTCAAACTTTTGAACACCCAACCCCACCTCAAAAAGAGGTGGAAAGACATCAAGGAGCAGTGGCCAGGGACATGCCACTGCCATCTGTGCCCTCATGAGCAGGGCTCCTGGGGGCCAGTGAGCTGGTTCCTGAGCTGTGGTCCTAATGTCCCCACTGACTGTACAAAGGGGTGTGGGCATGCTGACCGGACCAGCTGCAGGGGCCACCGGGAGGAGTCCACATACCAAAATCTGCCATCTTGGCATAAGGCAGGAGCAGCAGGATCGAGAGCAGAAGCATACTGGGCTGGCCTTTGCCAGGGTTAGGGTGATGGAGGCCAGGGTTCGGGGAGTGACCCCAGCTTGACAGCCACCTTCTTATGGCCCAGGGAGCTGCGATGTCACAAAGGCCAAGGCCAGGCAGATTCTTTCCACTGTATTGTTTTCAAAATGGTTCCCCTGGGGCATGGTCCAGGGAGGCTTTCTGACATGGGCTACTTTCCCGATGAGCAGTGCTCCCCACTTCCACTTGGTGTCCTGGGGTACCCCATTTCTAGCCTCTGCTACACCCAGCTGTTCTGCAAGGCCCACATCCTCCCTTCCCTGGGCTTCTCGGGGAGGTGGATGAGGCATGTGGCTGTGCAAATGGGGACAGGAGGCGCCCAGGAAACCCGAGGCCTCTCCCACCCTGCGTGGTCCAGGGACCCTGACCTGTGGCACCAGGTGTGATGATCACGGGTTGGGTTCAGGGGTCCTGGCCACCCCTCAAGCCCTGCCCAGTGGGCCACACTCCCTGTACCCCACACTTGCTGGACTGAATCACATTGTCTCCCAACCCCCAGCTGCACCTGTCCTTAAAGGAGGAGATGTCAGACACAGGAGGACACGTCCAGCGCACGGTCACCACACTGCTAGGCTGATTTGCACTTCTGCAGGTGCTGTCCTGAGGGGACTCACCAGAGCTCCCTTGCCCGCCTGCTGCTCTTGTAGATAATCGCTGTTCCAGGCAGTACGTATTTCATTCAGCCAGTCACCATGCACTTGTTTGCTCGCTGAGGACTGAATTTGCCAATGAGAGAAGGTGGTGGCCTTTGGGAAAGTCAGAGGGTGGCCATGTGAGAGCTACTTGCTTCTCAGGTTTTAAGAGGACCAAGGCACCATCGACGAGAAGGGTGGATGAGAAGCAGAGGGTGACAATGGACACGGAGGAGAGGATCCAGCTGAGGCGGAGACAGGAGGCAGGGTCCTCCTGGGCATGCCCCACTCATTTACCACCCCATGCTGGCCCTGCTTTTCCTCCAGGTCTGGTAGTCATTGCCACTGCTTCTGGCTCTGTCTCAGCGCTGGATGGTTTGGGGCCTGGGCTCTGCAAGCTCGGGACCCCGGGTCTTGGCACATCCTCCAGGGATCTGCTCCATCCTGAGATCCTGGAGAGTGGTACCTCTGTGTCCAGAACTTCAGCCCTGCAGGAGGCTATGCCTGGGCGTCCTGTACACCTCGGCCATGGTGCCTCTATTCCCCATATCCCCCATCTTTCTCTCTCCGTGGTTTCTCAGCGGCTCCTCCATCTCCAGGCACCAGTGCAGCCCACCGGTAACGCCACAGCCACTTCCTATATGATACTTTCCTTTCTGGTTTTATCCTGCCTGTACCCCAGAGCAATCAATCCTTCAACACAGATGTTAGCGATGATTCGATTTAATGCTGGCCCTTGCCCTGTGCATAGCCCTCACCAGACTGCAAAGGCTGGTAGACGGAGCTCTCTTAGCAAAGCACTCAAGGCTTTGGAGATCTGGCTGCCAAGAATATATAAATGCGCCCAGAGACACAAGCTTTGAATGCTGGGCAAACACAAGCACTGAGGGCTCCTCAGTTTCCTGGGGTAAAGGGCAAGAGGGGACCACACAGACTAACACGGGTCCGAGGCAGCCCTTCCAGGGTGGTCCTTGCACCACTGCTGCAGAGGGAATACTACAGGGAAAGATTCGGGTGAATGGGCCAATCAGCATCACCCCTTCCTGGCCCCAGGCCTCACTGTGATGTCACCAGGGTCCAGCTGTGTGCCATGTACCTTGCTGGGTCAAGGCCACTGCCATGGCATCCACATAAGCTGGAGGTGAAGTTGGGCAATTGTGGGCTTCCAGGGCAAAATGTTCTTGCTTCTGATTGCACTGCTCATGGCACTCAAGGGACAAGGCGAGGATGAGCCAGGTGGGTGCCAGGCCAGCCCACAGCAGAGCATGGGGGGTGATGCATCACCTCGCCTCTGGCTCTCAGAGAGCACACTGTGAGTCCCGAGGGTGCTGAGTTAGAGCCAAGGGCTCAGGAAATGCGGGTGGAACCGGTGAAGTGGGTAAATTTAGGGGCTCAGCGGGCCATGCCTCCTGAACCACCCCTAGGGCCTAGGCCCAGAGCTCCCAACACAGCACTGAGGGACGCACAGCCAAACAACCAGGGTGCTCGAGTCATTTCTGCGCGTAGGAGCAGAGCACACTTGCCCGCAGACCGCCTTGCCTGTTTACAGCTCTTTCTGTTTATGTTTTTGAAGAATGAACTTTTCCTAGTTGTCATTATTCAGGGGAGTTTTAGAAGTTGATTTGCAAAACTGTTTTAAACTGTAATAACGTTAACTCTTTGCCTCTTCTCTGTGTTGTAAAATCTTTTCTCCTAATTCGTTAGTACTCTCCTGGCTTTACCGTGGACCAAACTGAGACTGAAAGTTTACGTAATAAACTTATCAATATTTTTACTTGTACTTCTAGGCTTCTATTTGATACATCAAAGGGCTTTCTCATTTCAAGATTAGGAGCATTATCAGATCCATTGAAGAGAGGGTAGCATAAATTCTGAAGTCAGACTGTGTTATTACATTTCTTCATGTGCTTGCTATTTGAGGAAAAATTACTTACTACAGCTGTATTTGTTCCCTTTCTGTAAAATGATTATCTCAGGGGTTTGTGAGGATCAAATATGCATGCAGCTCTGAGAACTGTGCCTGGTGCTGTAAATATTCAAAATGTGTCAACTGTTTATTATTCCAGAACTTTTACCATTCCACTTCCTAAATGTACATTTCCACCCCAAGTTGGAAAAGATATTTCATGTCTTCTATATGTTACGTTTACACTTACAATCCATTTGGTAAGCTAAGGGCCACATCGTTTGTGGCACAGTAGATGGAACTGGAGGACACTGGGTGAAACAAGGCAGATACAGAAAACACAGGCCAACGCTGCCACCCACAGCTAGAAGCCAAGAGGGTCAGTCTCAAAAGGAGGGTGGGATCCTGACCGCAGGAGGCTGGAAAGGTCAAAGGGAGTGAACAGCAAGACATTAGATAAGGTAGCAACAAAATGTAGGTGGACAGAAGGAGAGAGTTCTAGGGTTCTGCAGCCCTGTGACTATTCCCAACAACCTGTTAACCTATTTCGTGATGAACCTGAAGAGCTGAAGTTTCTCAAGACAGAAATGACAGGTGGTCATCATCAGGGTTGCTGCAGCAACCTCTGGAAATATAAAGTGAGATCCACTTGCAGCTGAGATACTCCCCACACAGCCTCACTGCGGGGGTACAGACCTCAGGGCTCCTCGCCAAAGTCTCAGGAGTTGACCAGGCCCTCGGCCCTGGAGACCTGGATCCGCCCCTTCGCAAAGCGCCAAGAGCCCAGGATGCTCCTGTCACCAGCTCCAGCCTGCATTTCCTCCTCTTCCTCAGCACTGGCACTGGCCCAGCAGCTGCACGCTCACCCTGGTTCTTAGGGCAGGTGACATCACACCTGTCCTCAGCCTCCAAGAGAAGGACGCCACAGCTGGCATAGTTCCGCAATTTTCACCTTAAGTTTTCAATGATCTTTCCTTTTCTTGGTTTCTATCTGTTTTTTTTTTTTTAATTTTAGTCTTTCCTCTTAGAAGCTTTACTTTATAATGTTCCACATTTTCTGAAATGTCCTTGTATGAAAGAGCTCTCATTTGCTTTCTCCTAGCGATTATCCAAACAAACGGATTATCTAGGTATATTTTTGTGCATTACGTTTTGGAGTAGTTTTGCATGATTTTCGTTTTTAAGCTTGTTTTTAACTCAGGGCAGGTCATGGCAGACTTATCTTTTGCTGCCTGATATAGTAGAAACTTGCCACGTGGCCCCTTTTACACCAGCTCAAAGTTCCCTCTTCTCCCTGGAGGCTGCAGGGTGATCACCTATCATCCCAGTCTAGTCTGCCTGGGGACATGGAATATTCTCCTTCTGAGGTGTGGGCTCAGGGGTGACATTCCTCCAGCATAGGCGGGGTTGTCCCATGTGTAGGGGGAGCTCTGGATTTGGGGCTCTTCTCTCTTTGCAGTGATTGTCTTGGATCCAAAGCCTCTTCTGTTTCCCGAGTCAGGGGGCCCTACATCTCCCTGCAGAGATGGCAGCTTCCTCACCCTGACCACTGAGAAGCCACATTAGGGTCGGGAAAGGTGTCACGAAGTCAAGGCGTCACTGCAGCCTGTCCAAGAAAGGACAAGTGACCTGGATAAACCGTCTCCTTTGCATTGCCTGCCTGGGCCACAGGATTTGCCTCTGAGCTGTGGAGAGTTGCAGGGATCTTCGGTGTGTTTCTGGTTTCCAGAACTTTGACCCATGAGGAACTGTAGAATAGTGATGTTGTCAGTGTGTCTTTCATTCTGGTAAAATGATACCACAGCCCGAAAGTACTCCAGGTTTGTTAGATAAAATTGGTTCTAATTTCTGAATAGATTTAAAAACAATGTATTGTGGTCAGTCTCAATACGGATTGAGGTATTGTGAGGGGTATTGTGTATTGTGAGAATGCGCGCATGTGTGTATTTATAAGCCATCTTTCTTCAGAGTCATAGGTATTTTACAATTCCAACAAAGCAAGTCAGAGTTTTACCTGGGGAACTGAGGTGCTTTTCTACATGTATGTAATATTTATTGTATTATTTCTACACCAAACCCCTTTCCATTGCTTCTCATTTTCCCGGGCTGACTCGTTGCAGGATTCTTTCAGGAATCACTTTGCTGGGATTGGGACCTTGTCTATTTTCTGTGTCACCTGTGCCATCCCCTGTGCCCCCTCCCCCTCCACACACCTCCTTTGGGTCCTGATAAGGTGGATCCTCCGGTGTATCAGCTCTCAGGTCCAAAGCCTCCTTTTCCACTTGCTCGGGACTCTAATCGTTCCCCTTAGCTCCCAGCACTGAGCTCCTTCTGTGAGTAGTGCTGGAGGGCCACTGATGAAGGCAGCTAATTTCCACTTCCTGCTCCTGCAGCAGCGGGTACGTGTGGGGCATCTAGCAGAGCTCCACTTCAGCCACCTGTCGCTTGGTGATCTCAGCCCTGTCCCCACTTTAGCAACCCTGCTATATAAATAAGCCCCCATGGCCTCTGTCTATTAGTCCCTAAATTATTATTGCAGCAAGTTGACTCCTCTAAGTTCAAAAGCCTGTAATGTCAAACTTGAAGATTTGACACATGTGGTCATTTTAAACAGAGTCCAAACAAGCAGCGCTCCAGCCCTCTGGTCCTGTCTCCTTTGCACCCAGGGAGGCCACGTGCAGTTTCTGTTGTGGCAGCCAAGAGAAAGCCCCAGAGCTGAAGACCTTAAGCCACTCTTGCCCTTGGCCTCGGTCTGACAGACTACCCACAGGGCTCCGGAGCAACGCACTGCCCTGCCTTAGCTTCTGGGTGGCCTCACGCTGCAAAGGGCGCCCCTGCCTGCGCATCGCCCAGGCAGAGCTGGTGTGAGCTGCCTTTTCTTTCCGTCTGCCTCAGGGTGAGCTCTCGCCATGTGACCCAACGGACTTTGCCGTCTCCCAGTGTGTTGGGAGCAGAGCTCTCCACTGAGATGGAGCCCCAGGTGGGAAGGACCCCTGCCTTCCGGCTTCCCCTCCGCTCCTGTGAGATCAGAAAGCTTCGCTCTTCATCTTTACTTCTGGTTCTACTTAGTGATTGTTCATTGTAATTTTCCCCTGGCCAAATTACCACACAGGGCCTGGCTCCTGATGGTCCAGGAGCGTTTTTGGAGGGCGCCTGTGTCACTTGACTCCACATGCCTTCAGGAGGAGCTCGCCTGCCTTCCTGGATCTCCGTTTCCAGAAAGTGAGGAACAGATGCTAAAGGGAGTGAGATTTGCCCGTGCTCTCTGGCTCTGCACCCTTGGGCCACTACCTTGCCCTCTCTGGGCTTTGTACCGGCCTTCGCTAGGAAGGCGTCAGGAGTGTGGGACAAGGCTTTGCCTTAGCAGCTCACATGCCCCTGTGTCATGGATTAAAAAGTGGTGGTCAACTTCACACCAGTTGAATTAAATCAGCATGGTGCTGAGTGGAGACGGCCGCCTGAGGAAAGTTGCCAGCATAAAGGGAGACATGGAGAGGGACAGCGGGGTGTTGTGGGTTCCCCTAAGTGTTGCTGTTTGGAGCCGTTGGTTCTCCTGGAGGAGTTTGTCCCGCTTGCCCTCCCAGTATGCATCTGGCCATTATCATCAGAGAAGCTCGGGACCTTGTTGGTGAGAGTGGCTGTGGTTCACTTTGGGGGAGCTCTGGTCCTCACATTGAGCATCGCTTGGCTCTGGAGGGGAAGATGTGTGCTGGTTAATCTCCAGGAGAAGCTTGTCCCACTGGTTTTCTGACATGTGCTCGATTCTTCTTATCGTCAGAGAAGCTCGGGACCTCCTTGTTGCTGAGGATGGCTGTGGTGCTTTTCTGGGCAGCCCTAGTCCTTATTTCAAGAATGACTTCTTGGCTCCTCAACCTACCAGCACAGCTCCTTCATGCTGCTGGCACTGTGTTTCTGGCTTCCACTGCTGACCTTTGCACCTTCCCAGCAGATCTGTAAATCAGACTGGCGTGAGTCCTTCTCGTGGGCTCTAGACCTCCAGTTGGATTTGTGGAAGCCATTGTCATGGGCTCTAGGTCTTCATCTGGACTCATGCAGGACATTGCTGTGGGATCCAGGACCTTGGTTTATTCTAGGTCTTTAGTGTTGAGGACAGATTTCCTGCACTTCTTTGTGTTTAACTCTGAGTGACCATCATAAAATAATATTATAAATTCTGCATCCTGATTGTAATTGTTCTCCTCACAACCCCTGACTACAACACCCTGGCTCCTTCCTCCTTCAGAATCAGTCCACTGCGGCTACAGACCAGCCTTTCCCAACTCAACGTGGCTGCCATTCCGTGAGATGCTAGAAGTCCAGGATGGCGAGTTCCCCTGGCAAGTGAGTATCCAGATGTCCCAGAGGCACCTCTGCGGAGGCTCCATCATACATCGGTGGTGGGTCCTGACGGCTGCACATTGCTTCCCAAGGACCCTGTAAGTTCCTGGACCACCGTCGTCTTTTATGCCATGTCTCTTCTACGTGTTGTCTGGGCTGTTGCTCAGTGGATAAGTGTGCAAGGCTTCCAAGGCCATGGGTTCGGTACCTGGTGTGTTCCAGTGGCTTTGGACCCAGAGTGTCTGCTCTCCACCCACTCTCTCCTCTTCACCTCCTCTGCCATGTACAAAGGTGGGCCACTAGTTCTGGAGTGTCAGCATGGCTTCCTTTCTCCCTGCTGTCCTCTGACATGAAAGCAACACATTGGACAGTTCACTGTCCATACACTGGCTGGGCACCTACTGTGTGAGTGCCAGACAGCCAAGCACTCAGTCACTGAGAAACTCTGTCCTCTTCTCTGGGGTGGATCCACTCCATTTCCACTGGCCAGGGGTTTCCTGGGCTGCTGGTTCCACCAGCTCCAAGACTGGCTGGGTCTGGAACCCACCACTACCTACCCTATGTCCAGCCACTCCCAAGGCCACCAGGGGACTCCGCTACTCTGATTTCTCCATACCTAGAGCTGTAAATTCTATGGGCCGTGAATGACTCTGTGGTTGTTCTATACCCCATGACTACTGTTAGCACACATGTTTTTATATTCATCCTTCAGATTTGAAATGGCGGTGGTAAATGTCACTGTGGTCATGGGAGCCAAAGCATTCCATGACATCCGCTTGGAGAGAAAGCAGGTGCAGAAGATCATTATTCACAAAGATTACAGGCCACCCCAGCTGGACAGTGACCTCGCCCTGCTTCTGCTGGCCACACCGGTACAGTTCACTCACTTCAAAATGCCCGTCTGCCTGCAGGGGAAGGAGGCGCCCTGGGACCGTTGTTGGATGGCAGAGTGGGTATCAGCTTATGGGTATGGTATGTGTCTCCCTTTCAGGACCCCTAGAAGGCCCACAGCTGGCTGCCCTGGGGTAGGCAGAGAGATGCCCTGGATGGGAAGACTTGGATCTGAAGTTGGCACAAAATTCTTTCTTTCTTTCTTTCTTTCTTTCTTTCTTTCTTTCTTTCTTTCTTTCTTTCATTTCTTTCTTGTTGCTGTTAGTACTGGAGATGGAACTCAGTCCTAGCTGGTTTTTTTCTTTTCTTTCTTTCTTTCCCTTTTTCTTTTCTTTTCTTTCTCTTTCTTTCTTTCTTTCTTTCTTCCTTCCATCCTTCCTTCCTTCCTTTCTTTTTCTTTTTTGAGACAAGGTCTCACTAGGTAGCCAAGTTCCCCAGGTTGGGCTTGAATTTGCAGTCCTGCCTCAGCCTCCCAGCACTCAGGGATAAGAGGAATGCTCTACTGACTTTGGCTCTTCCTCATCTCCTCCCTCACCTTTTCCCATTTATGTAACGACAGTAGTGACCTCTTCAAATAAATGACATAGTTTAAAATAGTAGAATTATACAATCAGGCCCCCATTCAAAGCTCAGGACAACTAAAGCTGAAGCAGAGGTCCAGCCTGGGCAACTTAGTAATGTCGTGAGACCCTGCCTCGCGACAAAGCATTCTGAAAGGGGCTAGGACTGCAGCTTAGTGCAAGGGCCCTGGGCTCAGTCTCCATTGCTGGGAAAACAAAATAGCATAAAAAGAGCTGGGTACATAGAAGATTCTCAAAATGGGGTGGCAATGACAATTTTCATGAACCTCCATAAAACTGTTCAGAATATCCCTTCAGGAAGTGTGACAGTGTCCAACCGCTCTTTGGTGCACCATCATCTATCCAGTGGTTCTCTAGACTTCAGGAACTAACGACTCCACCCCTGTTCCCACAGGACAGCGGGCTGAAAAGAAAGGAGTGGGGTGGGACAAAGGCCAGGATCTCCCATGTGGAAGAGCATCAGGGCTGTTTTCTTCCCCACAATGATGCGCCCAGTCACGTCATTGTCCTGGTTTTTCCAGTTGGCTTGGTAGAGGACCCGGCCACCTTGATCCTGAGGTTGACCCTTCTCTACTCTGCACAGGCAAAAGCTGGCTGTGGGGAAAGTGGCCCTTCAGGGGCCTCCTAGTGCCCTGCAGGAGTTGGGTGGTAGCTTTTGTGGGCTGCTCCTGAAGGGAGGGAGCATCTTACATTGAGTCATTGAACAAGGAGCCACCTGTTGGGGCTACTGAGTGGGACCTTACAAGGCCATCTGTGAGTAGGTGACTCATGGGACCTTTCAGCCTCCCAGGGCTGTCACCCTGCTCAGTGGAGGCTGGTTACTGTTGGTGGCCAATGTCCTGACCCACATGCATTGGCTTCCTTCTTTGGTCAGGCATGTCTAGTAGCCAGAACATGCAGCTGCAGAAGCTGAGAGTGACACAGCTCAGCTGGAAAGCGTGCTCAGCAAAGGTGGAGCAGCTGTCCCAGAAGATGCTCTGTGCCTGGCAAGAGCTGGATACCAACGGCAACTGCAGGGTACTCAGCCCCGATGGGACCCTTCACAGCTGCACCATCTCTCTGGATTCCTGGGGGCGGGGATCCCTGGCCCTGTATCCTTGGCTGGAGGCTCCCTGGGAAGCTCATAGTCTGTTTCTCTTTGCTCATTCCCAGGGCGACAGCGGGGCACCCATGGTGTGTGCTAACTGGGGCACCCGCAGGCTCTTCCAAGTGGGCATCTTCAGCTGGGGCCTGACCTCGGGCTCCCGGGGGAGGCCCGGCATGTTTGTGTCTGTGGCTCAATTTGTTCCATGGATCCAAGAAGAGACACAGAAGGAAGGCAGAGCCTACATCCTATCTGGTAGCCCCAAGAGCTCCCTGACTTGCGGCCCTCAGGGCCTCCTAGCGCTGGGCCTAGGGTCTCAGGTGCTGCTCGCTGCCATGCTTTCTTGATAAATGGAGTTTACCTGATAAATGGAGTATATCTGATACAGATATCAGAGCCTCATTTTCCTTCTCCTTTCTCCTCTCTGTTCTCTCCCTTCCAGCGCAAGCAGTTAGGAGCATCAATCAGTTCATAGCAACCCAGGAAGTCAAGCATGGGCTCAGTTCTCCTGATCACCAGGCCCAATGGGGGAATATCTAACACAGGGCTAGAAGGGGTACACCAGCACATGGGGGACCTGACAGAGAACTCTGAACTCTGACAGGGAGGCCAAGGGAGGCTTAGGAAAGTGCTGAAGGGGAGATCACCTCAGGTTCCTTGTCTATGAACAAAGAAATTTGTCTGGATCAACCTTAAGTCCTACGTTACCCTGGAAGTCTTGTCTCTCTTTGTTACCCTAGAAGTTTCCAGTTCTCCTTCTGGTTCAGTGCCTAGCACAGACCCTCACCCAGGGAATCCCCCAGTCTTTCAGGGCAAATGCTTTAGTGCCCAGGGCCGCGGCTAGACTCAGGGGACATTGGTCCAAATTGGAGCTTATGACGAGGGAGATTATGACTTGGAATTTAGAAGTTACCCCTTTCCTTCCTCCTCTTACTAGATCACAAATAGGAGAACTGGATGGCTGGAGAAGCAGCAGTGTCTCCCTGATCCCCACGCAGGGATGACAGAAAGAGGACCACTGTTGGGTGGCCAAGATAGCTGCTGGCTTGGGTTTCCTGGGAATCCGATTGTGTGGGGGATAAACGGGGGTGCTCTGGGGATGAACATGTTGGGGGAGGAGAAAGCAGGACCAGACAGAGAAGGTGGGTGTCTCTGCAACTGGGCTGGCCTTCCAGAGTTATCCTAAATTGGGGTGAGGGACTAATTCGACATGCCCTGCCTTGGTCAGTCATTCAAGTTAGGCTTTTCCCAGGAGGCGGCCAACTCCACCTTGGGAAATAGAATAGGCTCGATTCAGCCAAGGTAATTCTCAAAGAGAATTGATGGTTGAGAAAACAGGAGCATGTCTGAAGGGAGAAAGCAGGCATTACATCCCAGAAGCCACCATGCCAGGTAATGGAAATCATGGTGAACTTGCCAGAACCATTCCAGCCCCAGAGACCTAACGGTACAAGAGGCTGAGACTATCCTATCCCAGCTCAGCTCACTGGAATGCGTTCTGCAAGACCCCAGGGAGGCACAGCAAATGGTGACATCCTGCCATGCATTTCATCACACGGTAGCTCCAGCTGAGGCTCCACATCCTATCCTCACACAGCACACATGCAGCACACAGGACTCAGATAAGGAAGAAGATGACGTCAGTACTCACTGACCAGGACACCTCTGTGGCTCACATCCACTGTCTCATCCCGGATCTGCTACCTCTCCTGCTGTCCATGACAGTACAGAGTCACACTGGTCCACCATGCTATATGATGCTTATCATACTCTGGGAACAAGGAATGATAAGTTCCTTGTATGAGCTGCTAACACACATAGTCTAGAGGATGCGAGAGAAATCTGTAAGAATCAGGGTGATAACACATCAGTAAAGATTTTAGGGACCAACACATCTGGACCTCCCTAGAAAAGGGACAAATTGTTGCCCTTTACACTTGGTGTCACTATGAAGGACATGTGGCAGAGAGAGGTCCCTTTTGGGTTGCGTGGATAGTACACAGTGTACTGGGAAACAGTGCTCCAACTCATTTAAGGTGGCTGCTAGTGTTTCCTGCGGAGACCAGGGCTCAAGGCAAGACGGGGCGTTGCCCAGATCTCGGACTAATGCAAGGCATATCACCAGTTCCCCCATGTGATCTGTAGATCAAACAGCGCTAACGCATCTGTGCAAGGACAGAAACGCTGGCTCGCTCTGCAGGCTCACTTCCTCCTCCCTTTGGTGGCCAGGCGAGCTCAGTGGAAGGAGACAAACACTGGTGCTGGGTCGCTGACTCCCAATGTGATGCGCCCCTTCCCAAATCACAAGGCCACCACTGTCAGGATGTCAAAGATGTTCTGTGTCATCTCCCATCCAATACATCTGTCAAGCATCGTAGAGGTGGCTACTGTCCTGTGACACGAGTGTGGCAGTTGTAGACCACTGACACCCAGGTTAAATTAGCGGGGTGCAGGGGTTGGTGCTCCACCACCTGTCTGCCATGTGTCTTCCTCCCAATGAATCCTGGGGTCTGTCCATGTGGACATGGTGGAAATGGACATGAGAGCACCTGAAAAGCCAGGTAGGATGGCTGTAGGTGGCCAGGGATCGGAAGTGAATTGCCTTTCTAAATTTTTAAAAAAATTTTAGTAGAGAATAATGATCTTGTGATTTAATTCCTGCTACACTACAGGATTATCACAGCAAGCAATGGTCCACTTGGAATGGAAATTTAAGGTTGGGCTTCAGTGAGTGTAAGGGATACGAAGGTGCTGGGGCCCTGCCATTGACTTTGGCTGCAGAGAAGCCTCTCTTGCACCTATGCCAGCTGACACAGGGGACACTATCTCCATCCTGCATCTGCAGGAGCCCTTGCACAAGGGCTTGGGCTACCATGGGCCCATTTGGGGTCTGCCTTGAAGGACGTGGTGAGGGCAGATCCTCTCTGTGGGAGGAGCCTTGATTGGTGCCCTTGGCTATCTCCTCCGTATGGAGACGGTGGTCTGGGTAAGCCTCCTGGGCAGCAGTGAGTAGTGGGCTGGGGCTGAGAAGCAGCAAGAGCAGGAGACCAGAAGCACAGAGAGGTCACGGGACAAGGCCTGTTATAATCCAGATTAAGCCAACCAGGAGTAGAGAGCCTAGAGCCTGGGGATTTTTAGTGCATGTGAGTTATACAGAATAATGGTCCATGCACATAACATATTTTGATCCTTCCTGCCCCTGGGGTTTCAATGGTCACCCTCCTTCCCAATTAGCAGGCCCCATAGCAGCACCTACAGAGGTCACTGTGAGGCCAAGGTCTGCTGTCATTCAGGGGGCAACTCTGGTTTGGGCTTTTGGTACAAGAGGCAACATATTTTCTTAAAGTCAGTTTTAAAAGCTTTTCTGATTCCTGGATTATACCTCAGAGTTGAAATTTTAAAGTCCTGAGATTTTTGGGTTTTCATTTTGTTTTTATTTCTGTAAACATTCCACTGCATTCAAGACCTCTTCCAGCAGAGCATTCTATTGCAAAAGAAAAGTTCCTTTTAACAGGTAACTGATTTTGGTAATGATACGTAATCATTTCACTCACTGTTTTGGTGTTGCTTACCATAGGTTACCAGAGTTGCCCTAGAGATGAGATCATTTTTTGATTGGCTTCAAACCACACCAAGCCTGACAGTGCACCTTAGATTCCTATCTTTGCTGTTGTATTTCCTGGAACGATGTTCAGTACCAAGAACTATATCAGGATCCTGTTTCTCCTGCAGAAAGGGATGCATCTCGGGAAATAGATGCTTATGGGGCCATTACAAGGGCTAAGGAAAGCTCCTTGTGGGAGCTCAGGGACTCACTGCAAACAGTCTCATAGTTCTCCCTAGCAGCAGGGAGAGAGGGTTTGCAGAAGAGAAGCCAAAGTTCAAGGCAAACCTTATGACTTCCATCTACTGAGTTCTGATGCCTGCCCAACCCAGTACAGGAAAATAATTAATTCTCCTCCTTCTGCCTCCCAAAGCTTGGCTGAAAACCTCAATTCTGAGAATCCCAGCTTCTTCATGCTCAGCCCCCACCATCCCTGGGAGCATCAGAAAGGCAGAGGTGGCACTAAGCACCAGCACACAATCTCAGGTGTGAGAATACAGAGACTGTGGGACTCCAGAAAGTCAGGATGGCTCAGGTGATCAACTTGGTCCTCCGTGAGAAAGTGCTAGAAAATACTGAGCCTTTGTATTCCTCCAATTCCCTGTCCAGGTCCCTTGCTGTCCATCCTGGGGGTGACGCAGGCTGGGTCCTAGAGCTCGAGTTCCCCGGGATCCTCAGTGTCATTGGGGCTGCCTTCAACAAGTCCTGACACAGGTATGAGGACAGGAGGTGAGCAGGTTTCCTGATTGTGTCCCTATCTTGTTTAGGCCCCCATGCTGCCCACAGATATGTCCCCTTCAGGCTCAGTTCCTTCTTGAACCTCCACATGACACACACTTGCCATCCCCCTGGGTTCCAGGAATATGTAGTCATCTCCTTGCTCTTGGCCTCCTGCTGCTGAGAGTCTGGGACAGCCAGCTCACTTCTGCTGAGTCTCTCATGACACTTGCACTTTGAGGACCTACACTGAAACCCCTTCACTTGAGATCCTGAAGTACAGTTCTGTCTCAGTCTCGAGCCCGCCCCAATCACACACTCAAGGCTGCCCAGCTGCAGAACCCCAGCCCCCTCGATTCCATCTCTGAGGCTGGAAATTCAGGAAGTCACCAGAGGCCATGGAAGGTCAGCTCAGAGCAGCCAAACCTTAAGGATGGACCTGTCCTTCTCAGCCAACCCAGCGACAGGAAACCAGTGAGCTGTCAGCCCCCTGGGGAGAAATGCAGCTCCAGAGTCCTCCCCCTGCTTGTCCCAAATGGACCTGAAGTGGGGCATCTGCGGCATTACACAAATGATCTGATCCACCTTAAACAAGAACCAGGGCACAGCTGCCATCTGAAGCAGAGCGAGCCTCTGATGTTGGTGGGGAGCAGCTTATGGTTCCTCCTACATCTCCTGCCCCAATGGCCCTGCTTACCTTCTCCAGCTTGCGCTAACATCAACACAAATGTCACCAGGACTAAACTGGGTCATGGAGAGCGGAGTGGGCTGACACAGGCCCTCAGGCCACGTTCTCCCCTGACCTCACTCCCTGGCCTCCCTAGCCTGGAACTTAGAGCACAGACCCTAGGGGATCCCTGCTCCCTGGACCTCTGAGCAGGGGTCCTGCCCCTCTGTGCAGCCTGCAAGGGGCTGGGCCCTGTCCCTGAGCTGAAGGCAGAGGGATGGCTCCCACTAGGCTGTAGCCCCTGCCTGTCCCTGCCCTGTGGGGCCGGCCAGGGCCCCAGCGCATGCTGGGCAGCAGTG